ATACAACTCCAATCTAAAAAGTACTAACAGAAAGTGTCATGGACAATCCCCATGCTCACTCAAATAAGGCAACATGCCCAACACCAGTCTCAACAACAACATATCATAAATTGCGGAAAGCATAAACAGCATCCAAATCCAGTCATGCTAACATAAAGCAGTAAAACATAATCAGCTAAGCTCTGGCCTCCTGCCGCCTGAGGCATCAGTACCCATACTACCTGATCCTGAAATAAGCATTCCCCAAACGTGGGGTAAGATCTCTAAGCTAGAAATCTCAGTAAGACAGTGTGTCCTCAAGGATCTTCCACCTCAAGCTCACTTACACGTGCAATATAAGTTCAAAAGCAGTTTATCATTTATCATTTCTAAAACAATGCAATGCAGCAGATAATCATGCCATGTGTGTCAATACCAATCTACTGGCCAAAGACAGTGCAGGTATACGTCTATCACCTACACACCGTGCAAGTACCACTTGCATTCACCCCGGTACACTGTCTTGTATGGTGCTACATACTCAGGCTTCCCGTCAAGATGAAACAACACATGCATATTAAGAGTCCGTTTGGATGGGCTTTTGAAAATAAGGACTTTTTATGATTTACTTTTTTTAAAAGAACTTTTTTTAAAAGTTAATATTATTTTACGTTTGGATGTAATATTTGAGAAGTACTTTTAAGTATAAATGTCATTTGGATGTTAAAATATAAAAAACACTTTTTAATTAAAAAATACTGTTGTACCCTTCATCCTCCTCTCCTCATATGACCGAAAATTCTGACGCCTAGAGGAGTGCCTTTAGCCATCGAAGAGCTTCAGCTTCGTGTTGCTGCTCACAGCCACCACCACCTCGACTCCCCTCCCTGCAAAGTCCAGCGTCGCCTATGCGTTCATTCTTTGAAATCATTCGGTTTGCTCTCTTCGCCTCGGACGCTCACGAGTTTGAAATACTTCGTTAGTGTAAGACAACAAGTTAGTATTTTTTTATTTTATTTTTATCGAATTGGGATCAGAGTTTAGTTGACAATGACAAATCTGAAATGGACTCCTTTCTCTGTGAATGTACAGTAACACTGATTGGGAGTTGAATCTCAAATGAAAATCTAACCTATCTTTGGCACGTTTCATTTTAAAAAAAATCAAACGAAGAGAGTAAGAAGATAGAAATATAGTACTTCAAAGTAGAGATCTGAACTTGAAGATGGAAGATGGCAAGGAATATAGTACTTCAAAGTAGAGATCTGAGCTTGAAGATGAAGATGGAAGATGGCAAGGAAGGAGAAATGGGGTAGGAGCTGAGGGTCCAATCTGTCCACGATACCTGCTACTTGCTTTTGGCTTCTGCTTCTCTAAGAAGTCAGAAATTTTAGCTTTTGAAAAAAAGTCAAATTTTTTAACTTTTTCATTAACTTTTGCTTTTTTTTAAAGTTACCAACCAAACACTGTTAAAATTTTAAAAGCACTTTTTTTGTATAAAAAAAGCAACTTCTGACCACGGAGAAGCCCATCCAAACGAAGGCTAAAAGCCATTACATGTAAAGTTCAATCAACATATCAAATATCCAAAAGCATGTACACAGCATGCATAAACCATACCCCCATAGGACATGGTGGAACCACAACATGGCTAAACCGAGGACACGAAAGCTTACCTCTAAGCTAGCTATCCAATGCCACAAGCTCAAAGTCCAATCACAGCAGATCACAATCTGATATGGACCAAATATAAATCAATAAACATGTACCACATGCATACAAATTAAAGACAACGTCTTTTCATTGCGTTTTCAAGTCTTAAAGCTTCTAACAAAGCCACGAGCCCTTAATCCCATGATTCTGACTTAGTTTAATTAAAACAGAAGTTCAACTTCATCAATCTAGGGTCCACAAACCCCCAATAGCCTCCTGTCCTCACAGCACAGCTACTGTTCTTCGAAATCCCAGAATATCCGGATATTCCTCGGGACCATATCCGGATATTCAATATCCGGATATCTCACCGTGCATATCCGGATATCCAGAACCCCATATCCGGATACCAAATATCCGGATATCCAAAACCCCATATCCGGATATCACATATCCGGATATTCATCGGACAGATATCCGGATATTTCACGACAGAATGCAGTTCTGCATTTTCGTGAAGATATCCATCCAAGGTTGGGTTTTTAACGATTTAAAGCACCTAAACATGCATTTCTAGTTGTGTTCAACATTATCCAACAACAAGTTATCATCTTTAAGCCTTAACATGCATCAAACTTTCATTTTTAAGCATTAAACTCATGATCAAAGGTTGGTATACATACCAAAGGCCAAAACAGAGGGTCAACTGCTCATGAAGCTCCCAAAACAGCTTCAACAGCTACTGGGAATATGGTGTACGAAAATGCTACACCAAGACTTGACCTTTCTACCCAAAGGTTGCTTCTTTAAGCAACAAAATGCCCAACTCAAGCTTCCACAACCAAGCCAACCAAGTCAGCCCCAAAACTCTCACCAACAGTGGCTGAGCACTCATAGAAAAGCACTCAGAGAAAAGCACCCTTCTCCCTCACCAAGTCAGCCAAGCTGATCAGCCACCCTCAACTCTCACGTTCAAAATCTGTTTTCTAGGGCATTGTGCCATTAGAAATGAGTATTTATAGCCACAAGTCACTTAAACACACAGTATTAACTTTAATTGCTACGCTTAGCATTTTAATCCCAAACTTTGGATTATGAAACTACATAATTTTCTAAGATTTATCATATTTTTCTTATAATTTTCTGAGCACCTTTCCGATACGCGCTTTTCCAAGCCAGTACCGATTTCTAGCACCAGTTCTCATTATCTGGACTTGAAACTCGTTTTACAAGTCCTACATATTATTCTAGTAATTAACATGCACTTATTTTAATTTTCCGGGATACTTTTTTGGTACTCATTTATACCGACTAGCAGAACCAGTATCTGCATTTTTCTTCCGAAAAGCGACTTTCAGCAATATTACCCACTTACTATAATTATTAAAGCCTCATAATAATTATTAGGGTCAATTATGGAATCATTTCCTATTTTCTCATAATTTATTAATTAAATTCCTTAATTAACCATGCGGTTCTTACAATATTTCTAAATCAATGATATCAAAGTAACCATTGTCATTCAACCACCTCCATCATGATTTGAATTTTGATTTATATCTTAATAATTCATATATAATATTCTAAAGTAAAAAATCATATTTAAATTAATTATAATTTTGTTTAAAGTGCAAACGAAATTAAACTTTAAAATGAAATTCCAATTCTATTTATCAAATGGACTTAGGATATTTAAAATTGTATAGAAATTTTCTTTAGGTCTCTATAAATTTATAGTATATGGTTATAATTTTTATCTCTAAATTTTAGGTTTCAAATATAAATATATCGATTTTATCAACAATAACTAACAAATATTTTTAATCAACATGTTCTGAATAAAAAATGAGTTTTTAATTACAATTTTAAATTTTTAACATTTATAATTTTACTATCCAAACATATTTGCTAGAAACTATTTTCTTATATCTTTAAACAAAATTACTTTTATGATTTATAATTTTGAAAGAGAATATTTAAATATAAAAAAAAAATCTTTTTTGACTAGGTTACAAAATGGGTCAGCCAAAAAAAGGGTGGGTGAGATGGTTCACCTCTTAAAAGTGGGTCAAATATGAATGTGCCTAATTTTTGGCAGGTTGATGGGTCAAATCGTTAATAAGTCAAAAAATCAAAAACTTAAAAATAAGTATTATTTATGAGTTTTATAATGTTATTTAATTTCATTTCACACTTTAGCTAATTTTTTTCAATCTCAAGCCTAAATGTTAGGGGAGACAATTTTTAACACGACCCCTTGATACGACATGAACACTACACAAAAACTGTGTTTGGGTTGACTTATTTTCAAATTTGTGTCTTGTTTGTGTTGGCAAAAATTGACATGAAAAATTCATGTCGTGTTGCATGTCAACCTATGAACCCGAAATTGACTTATTTTAATCTTCTTACAAGTTATTCGTGTCGTGTCGTAAATAGGTTATTCATATTTATCACGTCATGTTAACTTGCATAATAAGCAACATACTTTGCGATTGACAAGTTATTTGTATCATATCGTGTCATGTCAACTTGCATAATAAACGACATACTTTGAAGTTGCGAGTTATTCGTATTGTGTAGTGTTAACCCGCAAAATAAGCGGGTCATGTTTATGTCGAATATTTTAACTCGGCTTCAAATTCGTGTCGTGCTTGTGTTGAGTGTATTCATTTTTGTGTCATGTCGTGTCATCCTGAATGCCCAAGCTTATGCAAGAAAAAATTTAATATAGTCCAGGACTATTGAATTATTAGGTGCTCCCTCTTACAATGATATTTTTTTCCCAATTTTATCCAATTTTTTCCTCCTATTTATGAGAAGGGACCACCAAAACAATGGGACCCAGGACCACCAAAAACATTCTTTTTAGGGAAATATTACTTTCATTTTACATGAGATAGTTATCTCATGTTCTCTCACTTCAAAAATCGCATTCTCTCTTTTTTTTTTTGCTTTTTAATGGTGGATCCCACTTGGATTCTCTCTATAGCATGAGAGAACTACTCTCATATAACATGAAAGTAATATTTCCCTTCTTTTTATGTAAGTTGTATTCAAATGGGTGACGGTTTGAAAATTTCAACCCAATAATAGGTTAATTGGGCTAACCCGATGGGTGAAATTCATTTTGAGTACTTGTACTTAGATGTATATTAACTTAAACTTTTCATATATCTTAATTTTTTTTCTTAGTGTTAAAAGTGACCATTAGGAATTTTAAAATTTAAGTTAATAGCGGATTAAATTAGCTTATTTTAAAAAATAATAACTAATTATTTTTTGTCAATTTTTAAAAAAAGTAAATAAAAAATTATTTTTTAAAACAAAAGCCGGCAATACCTACCCTGCCCACCTATCTACATGCCTAGCGTAAGCACGCGCAATCAGGGCACACTTGCTTCCATTAGATTGTGAAGAAAAACTCAAGCTTACTAATTTGCGGCCAGATTTGGTGAACGGTAAGATCTTCCACTAGCATCTGTTTCCGTCGTTCATGTAATAATTTTTTTTTTTTTATATGATTCCTTTCTGATGCCTCCCAATTCACATTCTTCGCCACCACAAAAAAAGAAAAGAAAAAAAAAGAAAAAAAGAGAGAGTCTTTTGGTTTAAAATTGGTTTTGCTAACATGAGAATCGTTAACCATACTAGTTCTATCAGATACATGTTGTTTTTTGTTGGACGCTGCTGCCTCCTCTATGTTCTATCATAAGGATTCCTTTTTATTTTTTCTTAATTTCTAACTATTCATAAGTGTTGTTATTCTTTTCGTTGTTTTATTAATTATTAGGGAAAAATGAATGTAATTTTTTAAGGACTTAAAAGTTGTTTCGTTTAAAGTGAGAGAAAGAGATAAATGATGGAGAGAGAATGAAAAAATTAAATAAATAAAGGTATGTGTGAGAGAGTAAAATGACATAACTTGTGTGTCATTTAAGAGAGGACAAATATTGTTCCCTAATTATTATTATATAAAGTGATATTTCCATTGGGTTAACGAAACATTCCTATTTCCTTTCATTTGATGGATGAGTAAATGAGGAAGCAGACTATGGTTTGCTCTAAAGGGATGATGAATTTTTCAGGATTGTCTTATATAAATTTTAATATCATTAAAAATTGTTGCAGATTATTGGTTGGTACTTCATAGTGGAATTTGTGCAGCTTAGGGTTGTTTTCTGCTTATACTCAGAAGGAATAAACACATAGCTGTGATGGTTGCAGATTACTATTTTCCTCCTTGGTTTAGGTGGGTAGCTGGGTTTCTGTGCTTTCTTTTGTTTTATCCTCTCCTTATTCTCTGTTTGTAATATCTATAAGGCATAATGATTTTATCTACATTGTTTTGTTTTTGCTTGGATTTCAGTGTGGCTCCAATGATGGAGTGGACAGATCATCACTATAGGACTCTTGCACGCCTCATTTCAAAACATGCTTGGCTGTACACTGAGATGCTTGCAGCTGAAACAATTGTTTACCAAAAGGGAAATCTGGTAAGTTTGTAAAGATATGTATGCTTGTTATCTGAAAAAAATAAAAAACCTTAGAAGTGACTATGGTGCTTTAATTGATTTTTTTTTTTTCTGTTTCTTTTTTTTTTCACCTTATGTGATTAATTGAGTTCATGATTGCAATTTGTCAAGGACCAATTTTCCTGAAAGCTTAAGCTGTTAGGTAGAGACTTACTGTTAGTAAGCTTCCAGACTAAGGTGTGTTTAAGGAGGAATGTAGAGACTTTAGATCCAGACAGCTTGGTGCTATAAAGCTTAATACATGAATCGAACTTGTGATCTCTGGATCATAGGGCGACGACACCAATCACAATCATTTTGCCAAGGAGTCATGATACATACTGGGTGGAAAATATACTCCTATTCACCCGGTATATGATGGTACTAGTATCTCAAATTCAACAATTAACACAATTGGAGACTAGCTCCTCACACACAAGGAAATCTCAGCAAAACTACAAGTGTCTCAACAGTAATTCTTCAACAAGACAACAGAAACAAGACTCAGGAACCAACTATTTACTACCTGATTACAAGAGTAATCCCAGCCCCTATTAGAATTTCCCAGCAACTTAGAGAACCTTCCTCTGACCCATCACCACTCCTGAATATTCAGAATATGCGTGAGTCCCTCACTTCTCCTAGCTGCCTCATATTTCCTTTTACCCCGAATCTTCCATTCTACTATCTCCCAACCTTTCCTCTCCCTTCATTGCTTGCCATGTAGCCTCCCAAATAACCAACTTCTCATTATTTCCCTTAGTCATCAGTTTGTTATTTGCTCCTACTAAATGGGTCTTAGCTTTTCCCTTGTGCTTACGTCTATAGACCTTTTGAAGCCCATCAATATAGAATGTGGGAGAGCAGGAAGGAAGAAAAGCTTTGGTCGGTTAGTAGTAAGATAAAAACAGAAAATAAGAGAGAGAAGGGGGAGGATTGATTGGGACAGGTGGAAGAGAACCAGACCTCTTGAATTTCGTGAGATATCCTCTCTCTCTCTCTCTCTCTCTCTATCTACTATTTCTTTATAGATCTACCAGTGTTATATTACACTGATATCACTAGCATAACTTATGTGATAATATAGTATTATTCTGCTATTATCATCCAATACTCCAAATTCTATCACTTATGAATGTCTTAATATATTTGACACACCCTTAAATGCAAGTGCTCTTTAGACTTAAAACATGAATAATGCACTTCTTTTTTTTATTAGAAGATTGAAGATGACCACGATTGAACCCCACCACTTGGTCATGGTGTCTTTGATACCATGTCAAGTACTAAATTTTCTAAAAGTTTAAGCTGTTAGGTTGAGGGGGAATGTTGTGAATACTGGGTGTATATATTGTAATTGTTATTGATTTGTTTTTCCTTTATTAGATAGGTTATGATTAATCAGATTATAGGGAGAAATTATTATAGATTTGATTTTGATAGGATACCACCCTTAAACCACCTCTAAAGGTATATTCTAGAAGAAGCTAATTCAGCAAGGCAGTTAGAAGCAAATATGAGTGGAAGGCAATTATGTTAGTGTCACACGTGAGAAGCAACACTGGAATGAAGGGAAAGAATTAGTATAAATAGGGAATAGTAGAAGGATGGAAGTATCTTACACTATTTCCCTTTCTGTTATAGCATTTCCAGTTTATTGTATTTCCCTTTTCTTGTTAAATTGTTACCATTTTCATATTGTAATACAGATATAGATACAGCTATATACAGATCTGTGTTCCTTTTCCATAATCCATTGTGTGTTAGATTTATTTTCTGGTTGGTCTGTATCAATTGGTGTCGGAGCTCTCTGATCCAGGGGGCTTTGAACCACACCATTCAGAAAAAAAAAATGAGAAATCAATTTTATAAAATGAAGATTCCTATATTTTCTGGGGAAGAAGAAGCTTGGGAATGGTTGCTTCAAGTTGAGAGGTACTTCGAGGCAAAGGAATTCCAGATACTGAAAAGCCATTGGAAGCTAGGAAGGCGTTCACCGGTCAAGCTCGAATCTGGTATCGATACTGGTATACATAAGTTAGCTGGTGTATATTTTTAAAAGCATTCTTCAATGAATTCCAACCAGAAATCTGTTTGGTAGATGATGAAGCCGAATCACCTGCAGCAGAAACAGACACGTCTAAGAAGGAGAAGGATGAAGGTGATTGGAAGGAGAATGAGGAGATTCAAGAATCCCTTAGATATGCAGAAAAAGAATCCTTGAAATCAGAGACGAAGATGCAGGAAAAGTCTTTACCGGAGAAGGTGGAAACCTATGGTGGTTCGACAGATAACTATGGGGCATTGAAGGAGACCGGAGAACTTCTACGATGCACAGGCAAGAAAAAATTGCAGAAGCAGACCATGGAAGTAAAAGAGATCGAGGAAATTCATGACGCCATGGATGAGAGAGATGAGGGGAATGTTTCCATGAAGAAGGCACAAGATCCGTTAAAGCTACAAACAATTGAGGAGGTGGAACTCTGATACAACTCACTCAGTACTAGCAAGGGTCAACACAATCAACAAACGAATATTGGTCTGAATATTCAGCTTTTCATTTAATCAGTAAAGGAAATACAACGGAGACAATTTATAGTGACAATTGCAGAAAAACATAAAATGGTTACATAAGCTTCCAAGGAAATAACAAGCAAAAAGATAAAGATAGGCGTGAGGCAGTTGGAGAGGCCTCACTCTCTCCCAAGATTCCACTCCAAGGGTTACAGGTTGCATGCACACAGCACCCTCTATCTCCTCTTAACCATTTCCTCCGTAACCAACTTGGTGGTTCATGCTCACATTCTGTTGCGGGGTATTTTGGTCATCCCCTCCTCTTGGGTCATCAACACTTGAACCAACACTACCAACATTCTCCCTTGGGCCAACTTCAGCAATTGAAGTCCAAGTCCTCCTATTTTTATCCCTCTTGTAAACCTTTATAGGTTGGGCATCATGCCCAAACCCATCAACATGCTTTTCGTCAAATGGTTGAATTTTTAGCAAGTTCATCCTTTATAGAGGCTTTGGTTGGATCAAGGGGTGCCAATGATCATATATATTCCAATTTCATGGATGTGGCAGCAATAGAGGTTGCAACAAAATTTTTGGATATTGGCAGTATTATGACCGGTGTGGCAAGGAAAGCTGAGAAAATTACTACTACTGAGACTCTTGAAAGCTTATTCACAAAACCAAATGAAGGAATGGAAGAGGGGCAATGGGATTCCGGTGGAGGATATATTGCCTCATGCATTAGTTGGCCATTACATTTCAAGCAATGGGACCCCGGAAGATGATCATCACCTTGAGGACAAGGTGATTGTTTTGGGGAGAGTATTGATAGAATACCACCCTTAAACCACCTCTAAAGGTATATTCTAGAAGAAGCTGAGTTAGCAAGGCAGTTAGAAGCAAATATGAGTGGAAGGCAATTCTGTTAGTGTCACATGTGAGAAGCAACACTGGAATGAAGGGAAAGAATTAGTATAAATTGGGAATAGTAGAAGGATGGAAGTATCTTTGGGACTTGGAACTTTGGGCACCTCTTGGGTAATTGGGAGAGTCTAGAGCCTCTATAATTGCTCTAGAATTATCTTACACTATTTCCCTTTCTGTTATAGCATTTCTAGTTCATTGTATTTCCCTTTTCTTGTTAAATTGTCTCTGAGTGGTTACCATTTTCATATTGTAATACAGATATAGATACATCTATATATAGATCTGTGTTCCTTTTCCATAATCCATTGTGTTAGATTTATTTCCTGGTTGGTGTGGATCAGATTTCTCCTTATTGTTTGTGTAGAATTAGCTTTTTAATTAGGAAAGTAATTATTAGCAGTTATTCCTATTAGGCTATATATTATAAATCAATTTACATGATTATATAAGAAATAGTAATTACGTTTTCTCATACTTCAACTGTGTATTTGTGCTAACAAAGGCTATTGTTTTATCTCATTGCAGTGGGCATATGTGTGTGTTGAAATTCAGCTCTATTTAGAGTCATAATTAATTAATGTGATGTTCAGATATGCTTGCTAATTGTCTGCTACTTTTCTATTGTCTTATGAACTCTCTAGTAAGCTAAAATGATTTGTGTTTAGTGCCTGTTTGGATCCTCTCTTTTTTAAGTTAGAAGCTACTTATAAACATAAGCTAAGCCAAACAGATTTTGGAAAAAACTCTTATAATGAAAAGCTCTTTTTTTTATAATGAAGAAAAAAGCTGAAAACTAAAAGCTCCTAGGAGGAGATTTTTTTTAAGCTCTTATCTGTTTTTCTTGAATGGTGTGTTTTTTTTTAAAATGAAGAGTTATTAAGATAGAGAGAGAGATAATTTTCTTGAAATATGTGCTTTTAAGTAACTTTTAAACTAAAATTTTTATGTGATTACCAAACAGCTTTTAGCTTTTTTTTAAGTTTTTTTTTAGCTTTAGCTTATAAGTAGCTTCTAGCTCAAAAAAGAGAGGATCCGAACAGGCTCGTAGTTTTCTTCTCTCCTCTGCATCAGAGGTGTTTAGTATTTATTATTTTTTCTTTTCGTAGGTAGCATTAACTATATTGGTTATTAGTTGGCAAGTTTGTTGTTATAGTATTAAATACTCATCTTGTATAAATATAATAGTTAGAGCTGGATATAATAAGAGAAAAAATACAGTCTTTTGTGTGCTATCTCTCCCTCTTCCTAATTTCTTATTCTAAGATTTCTTTAGTGTGCATAAGAGCACAAAATAATGGGGTGGTATTTAACACCACCATTTCTGGATAAATTGGTTCTGAAAAGCCGTTGATTCTTTTTGTCTGCTATGCTCAGGACAGATTCTTGGCGTATTCTCCAGATCAACATCCTATTGTGCTTCAAATTGGAGGGAGTAATTTAGAAAATTTGGCAAAAGCAACCGAACTTGCTAATGCTTACTGCTATGATGAGATTAACTTCAAGTTCGTTTATTTCTTATCACCTTAAATCTGGAGTTTATTGTTATATTGATCTCTGACAGATCCATTAATTTATTTTTTCACAATGTACCAGCTGTGGATGCCCCAGTCCTAGAGTAGCTGGACATGGATGCTTTGGGGCACGTCTTATGCTTGATCCAAAGGTTAGAAAGTCATCCTTAGTTAAATATGACATGCAAACAGATGGAATATATATTTTCTTCATCAATGTGCATTAATGTAAAAATCTAATGTGTACAAGGAAAGTTTGTTGCTGAGGCTACTTCAGTAATTGCTGCCAATACAAATGTACCAGTTAGTGTCAAATGTCGAATCGGCGTGGATGATCATGATTCTTACAATGAATTGTGTAAGGTTCTTTTTTTAAACCTTTAGTTGTTTCACATTGAAAGGATGTAAAGTTAGGAATTTTTAGAATCGGGTTCAACCCATGGGAGGGAGGTTTGCCCCATTCCAAAATCAAGGCACACACAACAAGCCTTAGCGAGGGTTTATAGTGGTACTTGCAAATGACCTACCACTATTAGCAAAGAATCGCTAGCATGAATCAAACCCAAGACCTTTGAGTCGACGCGGCTTGATCCTTCAATTGAGCCTACCCTCATGGTAGAATAGTATGTCCACCGGATAATAAGATCTATATTAGTATGGCTGCATGGTTTTCCTTTCCACCTGCTATATTTGAAAAGTTTTGGTTACTCAGCTGTGCTCAAAGAATGTCTTGCCTTAACTCGATCTGATTAGGTATGTGGTGGGTTCTTATCATCTCGAAACCCATGGTTTGTGTTACCATTAAGTTGAAAATTGAAATTGCTATGTATTAATTGAAACCAAATAGTGATCTTCTGATATGAGCCATTAATCTTTATTGAAGACACCTTGATCTTTAATATGATATATCATAAGCCTAATTTGAGTAAGAATTGAGGGAGATGTGATTTTTTTAAGTTGACACCTGAAGCTGCCACTGCACAGGTCAGGTTTGGGCAGTCCTTACTCTTTTCGACCTACAGGATGCTACACAGCTCTAAATGTCACCAAATTTTGGGACAACATAACTGACATCCTAAGCTTTAAAATGATGTATGGAACGCCCCATTTGGACATCTGTGGAGGGAGATATGGTCTCCCAAAGTTGGCATAAAAACTGATCATTTTCTTAGAAATTTTGATGGTATTTCCTTTGTTTTATTAACTAATCTCACTTTCCCAAAGTGTGTTCTAATCCTCCAAAATGTACCTAATAGACCTATGGGGCACACAAGGTTCAACATACCTTGGTGCTCTTGCAACCCACAACAAATTTCGATAATTCTTTGATTAATTCACTATGTAATCTAACACTTAATCATTATACCTTTTGATACTCATTTCAATCACATGATTCAATTACATGCATTTATCAATTTGAATAACATCATAACCTAAAATAGGCTTATTGTCCTTCCATCACATACATTCATCATTAATTTACACAAGGTCCTTATACATCAATTACATTAATCCTCCACAAATATAACTACTAGCCAAAATAATAGGAATTACGTATCCACTAGACTTAGCCAAAATATGACATGAACAACAAGAAGGTATGGTATACATCACTCATGCAATACAACATGTTCATGCTCTAAGTCTAGCATATCTAATAAAATCTAAAATGCAAAATGTCATATATCATGGTGCACTCCGAAAAGCTCTCCTCCATATCATCCAGTGGGCCTCTTGCCCAACACACCTGCACCGCTACATCCACCTGAAATATAGCCGTATAACACGAGGTGAAATATACGAATATATCTCAGTAACCCAAAGGTTCTGGAGGATCACTCTGCCCAATGGCTCACTCAGATGTACAATGACAATAATATAACTATAATCAGAACATACACAACAACACGGCCCAATGGCCTACGACATACGGCATATGACATATGGCACTCTCAATCGGGTCCTCATCCAATAATATATCCCTGTGATATAATTCAAGGCTATAATTCCCGAGACATTTCTAGAGTGCTCCTTAACGGATCACAACTCTATGGCCCCAGGCTAACTGGAAATCCCTACGGAGGCCTCTCTAGTCGAAGTCTCCTATGGCATACGGTAACTATCTACTGGCCAGAGATATGGTATAAATTCAAATATATCATCCAACATGGACATACATGATCATGTTATAATCACACTATTGCAACAAACAACTTCCGACCACTACCCCAATGGACATGGTGGAGCACATACGGGGATTAACCCTAGTACCAAGGGATTACCTCTTCGAAGCTCCCGAGCTAGGTAGCTTCTATCACAAGTTTTTCCAAGCTTCAACTTGTACAAGAAATGCCTACAACAAAAGGTCATTTCCATCGTCATTTAGTACCACAATGATAACCCATTTGGTTATCCAAACTATCATGCAAACAAGTGATTCAACACTTACCAATATCCTTTTGGTCAAGGACCAAAGGCAATCCACAAGCTCCAAGCTTTAATCTTCTATGATTTTGTCCGAGGGAGGTAGCCTACAATGATTACATACACATGATCATCAATCAGCTTGTTAAACAAGTCATAATTCAAGACAACACAACACTCTCCCCATATGTTCATAATTCGGCCATTATGGCCATATTACACAATTCATGTTGTTAATTTTATTCAATCACTCCAATGGTTTCCTTAACCATACATAATACCATATCTATCCCACAATTTCAACAATTCATAACTTTGCACAATTTCCTTCCAATTTGCCCTATAAGGCCGTGGGTTAAGCATGAAAGGGGCTAGGGATTTTCCTTGCAATTTCAAGGTTCAAAGCACTCATTTAGGTCCACACTAGTTGATTCAAACACTTACTAGCTCAATTCATCAAGCCAAACATCCAATTGCACAATTTTACCCTAAATCCCTCACAATGGCCGAGTGATCTTTCTCTCAATCCACATGCATTGCACACTAATACAATCTATTTATACATGATTCAAATCAACACAAGTCCAACTACACAATTTTGCACACTCTTGCTCATTTTTTACATAAGTGGCCGAACCTACACCTCTCCATGGCCAAGAGATTTTCAATTGGTTTTCAATCATCCAATAAAAGGGGGCGAACCGGAGCAGTGGTAAAACTGTTTCTTCATGACTGAAAGGTTATGGGTTCGAATCCAGGAAACAACCTCTTTGTAATTATGCAAGGGTAAGGCTGTGTACAAGGATTTCTTCCACCCCGCACTCGCTAGTCGGGTTTAACGGGGAGTGGTTTTTTTTTTTTTTTTTCATTTTTCAATCATCCAATACATCACACATCATGTAATTTACTATTCTTACTAATCCACAACTCAATTTCACCATTTTTCAACAACTCATTTTCTCCAAAATTCAGGCTCATCCATGAAATTTTCATCAAGTTACAAAATTTTCCACAATAAATTTTATGGGTTCAATCACTATAATTCATCATTCTAAGCAACATTTATTTAATACATTATCATTTTGAGGTCTCCAGCTACCCAAACTCACCACACATAGGCTTAGGTTTTCAATTTTATGATCTCAATGAAAATCCAATAATAGGTATGGAAATTTATCACAAATCAATGTCCAAACTCCTATGAATGTTCCCCAAGCAAAACTCGAGCAACAAGCTCAATTGACATCAATTTCATCAAATTTTATATCTCAAAATCTAGAGACTTTCAAGAGGAATGGAGGTGTGGGTTAGGTTCACTGGGTGTTTTACTTAAAATTTCATGTAAAACTTGAGTGGATTTGATGAAGAAATGGAGGAGAAATTTTCTTGCCCTAAATCAAGAGGAAGGCTCGGTTTTTGGAGAGAGAAGAGGGGAGGAAGACAATGAATAGTGGCTGATTGCATAGGTGTCTTAAGTCACTCAAGTGGATGGGTCCCATATGCCACCTCACACAATTCAAATTATTTCAAATCATCCACTTAACCCACTATTCTCCAATTAATTAATAAACTATTCATTAAATCCAAAATTTAACATTCATTAAAGTCCTTTAATTACCCTTGAACAAATGAATCCGGAGTTTCCTGGTAATTCAGTGAAATCATTATTTTAGCGTGATTTGTGCACCGTTGGCATGTTTCCCCAAAATCCATCAAATTTTACCAATAATCATATTTCTTGGTCCTAAGTACCTTTTCCAACATATTTTAAATCCTAGAGCACTAATCTCACTCGGTGTGTTTTTCGGTGCAACTGTATCGCAGTATTTCATCCGTTAACAACACTATTCATCAAATTTTCAGAAATTTGCCTAATCACTCAATTTTTCATTTTGAATCCATTTCCAGTATTATTTTTATCATTTGAGGCCTAATTCTATCATTTTACAGTTTAGGGTTACGTATCTATTGATTTACCGTTTTACCCTTCTTACGTATTTTGACCTAGAACTTAGGATTTTCACTAATCCTACCCCTTAATCCTCATTTTAATTATAAGTATGTATTTCAAATTTATGAGGTGTTATATTCCCCGTAAAGATTCTAAGCCAGAGTAGTACTCAACAAATATCTGGTAAAATAGTAGTGTTTTGTGAACTTGTAACAAGCCAACAAGGTTTTTTTTTTATCAATTCGGTAACGTGCTGTTGTCCAGACCATACACTTGACTTCAGCTGGAGCTTTTTACTTCCAGATCTGTTTTTGTAGAAGAAATCTTTTAAGATTCGTTAAATTACTTTCTGTTTTGGCATTTTGGGTAAGAAGGAAACCCCTATTAGGATCTAAAGGTTGAATGAATTTGTTATTTCGCTTTTTATCTAGTATTCTGTGTTTGATTGCTGTTAATGAGATGGGTAAAAGCCTAATAAATCTCTATTCCAAACTGTTATTGATGTGAATTTAAAGCCATACTTTTTATATTAGGTTATAATTTCTTTAAAATCTTTGTACGTTTGTTGTTGGGGTTACCTATTGATCATTATGTTATGACTTTTATTATGCGCCAGGTGATTTTATTTACAAGGTTTCTTCTCTATCACCTACTAAGCATTTCATAATTCACTCAAGGAAGGCACTACTTAATGGCATTAGCCCAGCTGAAAATCGGAGTATTCCTCCACTGAAGTATGTGCCATGAAATTTGATTTTTATAGTCATTATGTATATAGAACTGGAGATGATCTCACTTTTCAATGCAGATATGAATACTTTTATGGCCTTGTACGCGACTTTCCTAACTTAACATTTACAATTAATGGTGGTATTACTAGCATTGATGAGGTGAGTTGTGTCCAAGTGTTCATTCTATGTCATTGAGTATTCATTATAGAGAAATTTTCTGTTACAAAATGAATTTTCTACACTCTTATGATCATACCAAATATATCACATTATATATAAAATGCACTTTCCCATGAAGAACATTCACTTACATGACATGAGACACTGCACTAGGACACACCAAATTCCAAAAATTGCGGGAGAGCATACTATACTAAGGGCCTGTTTGGATGACCTTTTTAAAAAAAGATATTTTATGCAATGCTTTTTTTAGGACTTTTTTCAAAAGACAGTTATTTTGCATTTGGATGCAGTATTTGAAAAGCAAGTAAAAAGCAGTATTTTGTAGAAGCGAGGAATGTTTTCCTAAAAAAAACAGTATTTTGGCTTCTTTTGTGGCTTTTACATTGTTTATAAGTTGGCATCCAATTCCAGATACATAATAAACTGAGAGGCACACTCTTTTTTTTTGTTGTTGTTGTAAAAGTGTTGCTTCTTAGGCAAAAAAAACCCATCCAAACAGGCCCTTAGGAAATATTGTATTTTCCTTTCTCTCTTGTATTTTCCCCTTCTTTCTGGCTTTTGAGATGGTTTGGTCTAGTCATATGTGTAATCTATATACATGCGTTTTCTAGCATTGAAATTATTTTTCTTATGTAAGGTACATATTGTTCTGATGTGTCTATCTTTTTGCCCACTTTCTTTGAGACTTTGATTGTAGATTAATGCAGCTCGAAAGGCTGGGGCTCATGGTGTTATGGTTGGGCGTGCAGCATACAATAAGTAAGTGTTATACAAAATTTCCATCCTTTTGCCTGTATGAAATCTCAAATGCTTTTAAACATCAGGAGTCTGTTTTTCAATAAATAGGGAACAAGATTTCCTTCAACTCCTCATAAAAAAGGATCATGTGATTTCAGAAAAAAATTGTAGGATGTCTATTAAATCTGATGTTGGACAAGAATTGGAAGTCAATTTTCACCTTAAATAGTTTTCTGGAATTTTGCTTTATTTTTTAGTCTGACTAGATTTATCCTGCATGTTGAAAAACTTGTGATAGCAGAAGTTTTTTGACTTTGAACATATTGCTATAAATTTACATTGGAGTTTAGAAACAAAATGAATAAAAAAATCTTGCTTGATATTTTTCTTTTATGAGAAAATGCAGCTGTACTATTTCTTAGTTATGACTTGCCAACCTGTGGAAAGTATGAATGCTGGGTGAGATCTTGATCTAGATTCTAGACACTTTGTGCATGGTATTTTATGTCACCATTAGTGTTACAAGTGAGAAAAATGATTGGATGTGCACTACATGATCTCAAACTATGTATATAAAGTAATATCATTTTGTGAAAACCTTTTGAGAAATAGACATGTTTTGGGGAGTGGATCTTCTCATGTGTTATTTAATATGGTAATGTCATGTGGGAAGATTCTAACCATACAAGGGTGAACTAGTGGTAATAAGAGAAGAGAAAAAAAAAATAATGAGATAGAAAATTGTAAAATCATCACCGTTTATTTGTTCATCAATGGTTAAGATCCTCTCACATGACGTGGTCATGTTAAATAACACATGAGAGGATTCACTTCTTATATTTTGTATATTTTTTATTGTGGTTGTAAAACAGTCTTTCTCAAATATGCATATTTGTCAAGAACTAACTGTCTAAAGAGCTTACTCTGAAGCGGAGTTCCATGTTAGGCATCCTATATCTAACCTGGCTTTTAACAAAAATGCCCTTTAGGCTTAAGGGGACAAAGCATATGCCTAGCATACCTTAAGATGAGATTTAATTTTTAAAAGAATGAGCAGAGACAAGGATACAACTCTCGACGAGTTAGTTATTGCGGTTCCATTATGATAGGAACCAAAGGAGGATTGGGATATGTTGAGATATATAAAACCATTAATGTAACCTCACCCAAGAGCTTAAGCTTTTGGGCTGAATTAGTTCTTTACATGGAATCAGAGCCTCGTGTCCCGGGTTCGATCCTCGCCGCCCCCCACTTTCTTTCAAGTGGAATTTCTTTGTTCGCACAGGTAGGTGGGCCTGTGCATTGTCCACCCTTCAAGCCCAGTGGGCTCTAGTGTGAGGGGACGTGTTGAGATATATAAAACCATTAATGTAACCTCACCCAAGAGCTTAAGCTGTTGGGTTGAATTGGTTCTTTACAGGATAAAAGAGAACTTATAGAGGAAAATAAAAATGAGATTGATATTATTAGATAATATTCAGCAGCTTTTAGATACACCAGAAGGAAACAAAACTACCAGCAAGTTTACAAGGAAAATAAAACATATGTGGAAGAAAGGAAACAAAGGGTCACTCCCAATATCCAAAAATATCCCAATAATTCCTAAAGATAATCCACCTAGCAGCACCACTTTCCTTTTATACCCGCTGCATAGTCTTCATGTTGCCCATGCTGCATAGCTCCTTTTTACTCACATTTTGTTAGTAATTACCAGATGACACAATACATGAATATTCCTTCCTAATTGTCTTATTGCTGACTCAGCCCAATTGCTTTCCCTAAATTTTCCATTTTTCCTTGAGGGTGGTATCGAATAACATTACCATGTGAAGAACCAATTATCGTAATTTCTAGTGGCATAAATTGTTAAGTTGAAGTCTAGAAATTGTATATCTTCAAAATATTGTTTTCATTGTTGATTGAACTTTCTTAATTTTATTTTTGATAATTTCAACAGCCCTTGGCATATTTTGGGACACGTTGATACTGCAATTTATGGTGCACCAAGCAGTGGTCTTACACGTCGGCAGGTTAGTTACACAATCTCTGGTTTTGAATGGATTAAGGTGCACAAATTCCTGAGTTAACTTTTGGCATGACTTAGGGTATGCCAATTTATGTTTGGATTATTATGATTATTAATTTTTCTCTATTTCATCAAGGTCCTTGAGAAATATCAAGCATATGGGAACTCAGTGTTGCAACAATATGGACTCCGACCAACTGTGCGAGATATTGTGAGGGTGAGAACAGACAAATATAACCCTCATTAGTTGATTTTCAAACTTCTTTTAAAATTACTCTAGTTTGATGAAAATTCCTCTACAGTATCATTTATGTTATAGTTACAGTTGATACGGAATAAAGGCATAAAGCTATATTCTTTTATATATACATGCAATTTGATGCAGTGTAATAGTTATATCCATATTTTTTGTTTTTGTTTTTGATGGGCCTCCAATTCATGTTATCATAGAAAGGAGAGGAGGAATAAGTATAGGTTGGGGCATTAGCTCGGAAGTATAGTTGGGGAGACTGTTATGTAAGGAAAAGGTGGCTCTAATTGAATGGACACTTCGGTCTTGGTATAGAGAAGGGATAAATCATCAGACCTAGAAAAAAGGGATTGGAGATATTGCAATAACTCCTTGACAGTGTTCCGGTGAATGTTAATGTCATTAACCCAAGGATCTAAGGTTTGCTGAATCTGTGTATACAGCCTCATATCCTTCCAAATCAACAGGTATGAAGTAGCCACGTCTATTGGACCATCTTGAGTGAGGTGATTTCCTTACCATTGCCCTTCATATACATCTCAATCACCATCTTCCATTGGGGGTAGTTCGCGCCATTACCATCCATCTCCTTGCTCCCCTGTTCCATTGCGATGGTCATGACCATTCCTCTATGCTCACTGCCCCTAACGATCCATAAACTCTATCATTGTCACATTCAGTTGTCGAATGGAATTCTCCACCACCACTAATCGACCATCAATTCCCCCTGTGCATTTCTCAATCTCTCCCAGCCTCTGCTCTAATTCTTCTACTCATGCCTCCATGTGTGACCTAACCGTTCAGGGTACTCATGGGATTAAGAGCTTTGATACCAATTGATGGTACCCAAAAGAAAATTATATTGATCACTGCAACAAGAACGATGGGGAAAACCCCTTACAAATTCACTTACTCAGTGTAAATCTGATAAGGACCAAACAGTAACCAACACAATTAAGATGAAAATAGGGAATTGTATTGCAAAACAATCAGTAAACCACCAGGTTCAGTATTGTGATTACAGATTCAAAGGAAATAGCAAAGACAAGTTACAGAATGACGCAGCCTAGTCCGGAACTATATTCCAGAAACACAAATTACAGTGAAATAGAAAATAATGCAGAAGGTAAAAGATAATATGGAGCAATTGGAGAGGCTCCACTCTCTCCCAAGATCCCAATTCTCTATTCTGATCCTCGATACCCTTCCCTCTCCTCAGCAATGTCACTTAATCCTCCCCTTCCTTGCGTTGCCTCATTCTGTTGTAACAGAATGGCTGAGTCAGCAGATGAGTCACCATGTGGGCCAGATTTGGTTGGGGCCCAGATTCTCCTTTGCTTGTCTCTCTTATACACGGTGGGCTTGGGCTGGAATTGTTGGGTTGTATCAATACTCCCCCCCAATTCAAGCACCTTGTCCTCAAGGTGGAAGTAAGGAAACTGCTTGTTGATGACATCAAAGGATTCCCACGTATTCTCAAACTCACGCCTAAATTCTGCCACCGTTCCAGTTTGCTTGAGTGTGTATAGTGCTCTGTAAGGATTATCCAGGGCCTCCGGCTGAAACCTGCTCAACAATTCTCGCCGGAAAAATTCCCAATCAGCGTTGGGATTGTTAACCTCCCACCACAAATACCACTGTAAAGCTTCATCCTCCAAGGTCACCATCACCGCAGCGACTTTGTCTTCCTCAGCTATTCCGTTGATAGCGAAATACCTCTCCACCTTATTTATCCACCCGTAAGCGTCATTGCCGTTAAACAGGGGGATTTCCAGTCGCTTGGTCACAGGTGCATTCGGATTAAACCTCCTACCATTCACACCCGTGCCGTTCCTGTGATGGTAAGTGTTCTCTTCGTGAGAATCGCTCCGCCTTCGTCCCGCCATCTCATCTAGCCTACGAATTATTTCGTTGACCCCAGTTTCATTCGCCTCCAACCTTCGAAGCACCTCGCCATGTTGAGCTTCACTCCTGCGCAGCCCCTCTTCCAAAACATCCAAACGGTTCTCCATATTTCTCGTAACCACCATCCCACAGAGCTCCAAGATCGGAGCTCTGATACCATTTGATAAGAACCTTGAGATGCACTACCCCAAAAGCTAGCTCGAAGGATGGGAGTGGCCAAGGCCTTATAAACCCCACATTAGTTGCCCATACAACCAATGTGGGACTCTAAGTTCCATACCTTGCAAATGGGATCGTAACATTCCACCATGCTCCGCAGCCCCGGCGCCCACGCGGGCTGACTTTGCGCTAGTCTTTTACTAGCCCCGGGCGAACACTGCAATGCCGATGTCACCACCCGCGCCGCTCGATTGCAACCGGGAGGCATAGTGGAAGGCTATGATACCAATTTGATAAGGACCAAACAGTAACCAACACAATTAAGATGAAAATAATTGTATTGCAAAACAATCAGTAAACCACCAGGTTCAGTATTGTGATTACAGATTCAAAGCAAATTACACTATAACAAGTGACACTCAATCCTAATTACAATAGACACACCAGTGGGATGGCACTGTTACACGTTCAAATAAGAATCTACTCAATGACTATGGTACCAAATCATAATCAGTGACACTCCATTTTCCAGCTCCCTCAACGAGACACTACACCCTTCTCATTGAGTTCCATCCATACACATCAATTCATTAGCTCTTTGGTGCCCCTCCATTCACCCCATCCTTCCTTATAACTAACTCCACATTTTCCTCCCCACTCACTCTTTTCACCATTCAAAGCTAGCCACGTGTCCGCCCCATTAACAACCTTCATTCCTTCCTTTTCCCTTTTTTCTCCACTACTATCCTTTCTGTTATCGTCACTAGGATGTCCACTGAACTTGGGCTGTTGACCTTGGCCCTGTATTCCTTTTTTTCCACCTCTTACGTTTATACACCAATGCTAATGGCCCATCGTCCTCCAACTCGTGTTATGACGAAGGAGAGGGGGAATAGGGTAGATTAGGGAATCAGCTGGGAAGTGTAGTGGGGGGAGATGGTTATGTAAGGAAAAGGTGGCTCTTACTGTATGGATACTTGGCAGCAGGAACTGGTGCGGAGGGTGCTGGTATAACGGAAGGGAACGCGAATATGAAGGGAATGGAGGTTGGTGTAAGGTGCATATGATCATTTGAGAGTCTGCGGTGGCTGAAGCCATAGAGTAGACATAGCATTTTGCTTCTCTGATGTTTCTTTATTTTCTGCATTTTCTATTATTGTAGGGAGCTAGTCTCTTGTTTCTTTTGTATGTAAAAATCAGATCCTATTAGTCTTCTTGCTATGGTTTAAACCCTTGACTCAATTTAGGGTTCCCCCTTTTATATTGGAATTTAAAAGTCTGGACTTGCACTGGAGGATTATTTTTTTCCCTTTTCCTCCTCCCTTCAATTTGCATGAAGCGAGTTATATATATGTCAATGATATTCAAATTTTTACATCCAATTATAATTTGCTTTTTTTATCTTATGAACATCGTGTTTATTTGAGAGAAATGTAATGTTGATATATGACCGTCATGTTACTTTGCTGCAGCCTTTATTCAGCTTTTTTCATTCTGAGCCTCGGAATGGAATTTGGAAGCGCAAAGCAGATTCTGTTCTCCTAACTTGCACGGTATAGTTACTTTGAAAAACCTAATGATTTGAGTTCTTTGAACAGGATTTCATTTTTATCGCATATGTATTTAGATGTCATCACACAGGATAAACAAACTTCAATCATCAAGCAAATCTTACCTAGTCTTAATTTGCAATTGTTTTCCCTGATTTCTAGAAATTAAAAGATGGAGAGAGATAGAGAGAGGTTATCCCTGGAACTACTTAACTAGTGTGGAGAGTGAGGTTGATGGCCAAAAGAAGTGCATATATTATAATAAATGCATTCTGTCGTCAGTGTCATGGAAATTAGCGATGTACACGTATAAATAGTTATTTACAAGGTACTTATTAATAAGTTATTTGGATTAGCTAGGTCTACTTTGAGCTATGCTGATACCATATTACCGGCTGTAGCTATCTTTTGGTTTAATATTTTCGTCATATCTCACCTTAGTTTACTGTAATAATCATTTTATACTTCAGTTATTGCATTAATTGCTTCGAACACTTAACTGAATTATTGAACCATACAGACAGTTAAATCATTTTTTGAAGAATCCCTTGTTACAATTCCTGACTCAGTCTTGGATTCACCTGTTACGGGACCACGATCTGGCCGTGGAGATCTTTTTGCCAACATAGACAGTTTGTTGCCTCCGCCATACAGAGCAAGAGAAGAGGATGCTACACATGCCCAGGCTCATGTGTACTCTACAAATCCAAGTCTTGAGTTGTAGCTACTTCACTGAAATTCAATTTTTATTCACTGCCAGTTTTTGAAAAATGAAGTGATAGGTCTCATGTAATGTAATGGCAAAACATTAATAATATATAAAAATTTATCAGTTATCTATTGTATGTGATTGACTTTGAAATGTAGTCCATTCGATTTAGAGATTTTAAGTAAAAACTAGGGGATTGCAATTTCTTTGTGGCGATTGCTTTTGCTGTTGATTTTGTTGACATTTGTAATGGGTGTTGTGTGTTAAGCTGAATGTTCGGTGGCTCTTTTTCCTCAATATCAGATAAGCCCAGCCCAACCAAAAATAAAAAATAAAAAATTAACATAATGGAAATGAAAAATGTCAAAGCCAATACAATCTTGGGTTTTATAGTTCTTATGTAATATGAGAAGAGTAATTTTCTTATACATTCTTTGATTTTCGTGTTGATATGAGTTTTACACATGATTTATTTTAATATATGGGTTCTATATGACTTGTGTTTCTACAAAGGTTTCTTACACATTCTTCAATTTTCGTGTTGATAATTTCACACGATTTTTTTTAGGAGAATATGTTTCTCATGTTGTATGAAACAATTTTATCTTATGCAACACAAAAAAAAAAGGTGGGATCCACTAAGGAGAAGAGAGAGAAAAAAAAGTGGATCCCAATTACTTTCTGTGTGTGCACAAGAAAAGATTATTTCATGTAACTTGAGATACATATTTTCCTATTTTTAATATATGGGTTTCATATGACTTGTGTTTCTATTACATAAGAAGATTCTTTCTCATGTAATATGAAAAGCATAAAATCCATCTTCATTTTCTGATCGTCCTAATTTACATTTCATTAGAACTACGCATGCCATTGGACCACTAGGTTCTATTATTATCAATTATTCAACGTGGCAATAGCTTATTGGTCATTTCATGAATAAGATAAGATATTGTATGGTCCAACTCTCGGTCCTTTATTGTGATTTACGTTCCATATATTCTTTCTTTGATCCAACTACTTGCACTATAGAAGGTAGCAAGGAGACTAGTTCAGGATTCGGATTACATTATAGAAATGGCATCAATCACCGTGACTGCCCCAATCCTTGGCTCCACTACCATCACCAACCGTTCAGTGGTGGCAACACAGAGGGGACTCATAGTAAAAGCTTCCAAAGCAGTTGAAGGGGAAAAGATGGTAAGTTATGACAATGACAAGGACGGTATCCATGGAAGGAGGAACTTGATTTTTACGGCAGCGGCGGCTGCGGTTTGCTCGGTTGCTGGGATTGCGGTGGCGGATGATGAGCCTAAACGTGGTACCCCAGAAGCCAAGAAAAAGTATGCCCCTGTTTGTGTCACCATGCCAACAGCTAGGATTTGTCGCAAGTGAGGGTCTTGGGTTATGATTTACTTTGCTTATTGGAAGTGTACAATGGGGTTGTAATGTTTTGATTTCATGTGATCCTCACTGTACTAGTTGTTCATAAAACCATCAGCTTTGCCTTGTCTCTTTGATGTCGCAAATTTAATGATCAGCCAAGGAATTAGTTAATAAATTTTCATAATCTCACAATTTGTTTTTTGTTTGCTTGCTTTTTATTTTTTTTTAGAGATATTCTAATTGGTTCATCGCTTCGCAACTAGCTTGATTCGTGACGGATTCCGAAATTAAAGCTTTAAACCCTTCCTAAAGACGGTATTGGAAATGATCGAACACATGTTCTCACCTTCACATGCTCCGTGACGCAAACTGAACTAGCTACCATCATTTGGTGTTTGCTTGCTTTTCTTTGTTCCCTTAGTTAGAGGGTTTGAAGTTGAACTATAGCTTACTTTATCGTCCTTTGAGGGGGGAAGAAAAAAATTTGCAATCTACAAAGATATAAGGAAGCAATTTTTGCAGATTTAACTGGAAGCAATTTGATAAAAATGAAAAAATAAAATAAAATGAAAAACGCTGTATTTTGTGAAATCACCGTTTCATATGAGGCCCCTTCCATTATACCAAGAACCAAGAAAATTGGGTGCATATCAGAACTTGCAAGGGGATGGAAGCAAAGCTTGTTTTTTTTTTTTTTTTTTTTCCTTAAAGAACTTTTTATAAATCCTAAGAATTAGTGTCAACTTATCTTCATCGATCTCATCGTTGGATTCTTCACTTTCTTCAGTATCATGGTTCGGCTTATTCCTCACATTTAATGGACACCATGGCCTCTAGTAAGTATAAAGCCAATGCGATCTCATAGAAGCCAATGGTGAAAATAGGAGTCTTGGAGCTTAACGCCTATGTCACCTTGTGGCACAGAACAATTGTGATGTCTCGACAAACAACTATCGACAAATGCAAAACAATTGGTTGATATCCAAGTTAATGTGATTGAAAGTCACCCAAAAAATTCATGTGATCAAATGGTTGGAGAAGAAGCAATCACCGGAACATATCCTACATTAGCCTCCATCTCTGTTAGAGCAATATCTTTTCTCAAGTTCTCGAAATCAACTCTCGTAAAAATCATGAAGCCTCTACCACGAACTGTTAGAATGGTATGAAGAGCCCAAAATCTTTGGCAAAAGATAGATATATTAATGGGCCAAATGATAAAGTGAATTAACACCATGTCTCCAACCAAAATTTTAAGACACCAATGAATTTTTTAGGCTTACATAATCTTCACTTCATTCTTTTTTAATTAATATGAGACTTCACCACTGGGCACACTTAAATATTTCCACCTGAAGCCATTATGATTGGTCTAGTGGTGAGGGATTTTTGTAGTTTGCATTAAACTATGTGTTCAATTTCCACCATTATATCCAAAAATAAAAATAAAAATATTTCCACCCGAAACATAGGGAATCCACTTGGGCTACTTTTGTATCACCCTGTGAGCTCTCGGTTTGTTATCTTGCTTTATAGTATTGAGTACAACTAATTAATCAACTAAATGCGAAAGCTACTCATATTAATTCATAATTATTCTCATATAAAAATGCAACTAACTTTTTCAATTGTGCATCAATTTATAATAATCACTTTGATGTCAAGTTAATTACATTCTGTATTACTTGTTCTTTCAATTATCTTATTTGCAATTTTACATACATGATTATCTAGGGGTGTTCATAAACTGATTCATACCGCAAAAACCGAACCGAAAAATCGAAAACCGAAAAACCGAAAATCGAAAAAAACCGAAAAAATTTACTGGATTGGATCGGTTTTCGGTTTGAATGTTGAAAACCGATCGAATCCAAACCGATCCAAACTTATTTTCTACCAAATTGGGCCTAACCCAAATAATAACCCAAAGTTATAAACCCACCCATTAGCCCATCAGCTTTGAAGTGAAACGCACAAAAATTCTAAACCTAATCCATCCAAACTTACGCTCTGGCATCTGTGGGTGAGGGTCTTGCTGTCGTCTTGCTCTCTCAGTCTCTCACTCTTCTCAGTCACTCACAGTCTCACACCCGAAGCCATCTTCATTGGGCGTGGGAAACTCCATTTTTAAGAGCATTCTGTTGGCATCTTGGCACCATTTCTCCATTACAAAGTTGTCCGAGTCCGATTGAGAAGAAGAGAAACACGGTGTCGTGTCGGTAGGTAATTATTCATCTCTCAATCTCAATCTCAATTTTCACAGTTCAAACAGTACAGAAACCTTTAATATTATTTTCTTGTTCCGTCGGTCAATGAGTTTCCAAACAGTTCTCAAATTCTAATGTCACATTCTCATAGTCAAAAAACAAACGCTTCTTTCATCTCTTTTTTTCGTTCTTCGATAGGTTGCTGCGGGGAAAAAATAAAATAATAATATCTCAACAAACCAGAAACTGACATTTGATTTGGAATTTGGGTTGCACCACCTACTTCTTCAATTCTGCATCAACATCGTCGTCTCTGTCTACCTAGGTTGCTCCTTTTTGTATCCATTTTATTATTTCTATTTTGATTTTTCATCTTTGGTGTTGCTTCTTTCGGGATCTCCATTTCATGGGTGTCTCTTTCTGCTGTATGTGTTTCGTTTTAGTTTGTTTACTGCTCTTTGTTTTGCTCGGTTGGGCTTCTAGACATTCGTTATATCAACTTAATGAGCTGAGAATTAATGCTATTTGATTTGTCAGTTCAATTTTCTGAAGTATGTTTTGATAACAAATACGAATTAACAAAAAAAACAATTTGTTTTTGTTTATTAATGAATACTCTTAACATATAACTGGATGGAGCCAAGTGATGTGATGATTGAGGTGGTTGAGCTCTGCTTATTGTTTTTTTGTTTCTTGTGCTCATAAAGTAAAATCTTGTCTCTCTCTCTTTTCTCGTTTCTCTTGTTGGGGGTGGGCTTGATTGGATAGGTATGGATACAATAGGGGGATAAAAGTTGAATGGAAATCTTGATTTCATTTTTCTCATATGTTTTTTTCTTTAATTTTTTTTTTTTATGTTTTGCTCAGATTTGCATAAGAATTTATGTTTTCCCTTTTTTATTTTGGTAAGAATTATCATATCATATATGTGTGTTGTTGTTTAATTTGTGTTCTTTGTTTACAGATCTTATTATTTTGGTAAGAATTATCATATCATATATGTTTTGGCCGGTGTTCATAGTGGCCACTTTTGCAAAGCCAATGACTATCATGGAGATCATGTATCTACATTTTCAAAATTGTAGCTAGTTAATAGAGAAGGAAAGAACAAAAACACTACATGATGACAAATTTTGGCATTTGCCTAGCAACATATATAAATGTATAAGTATTTGAAAACCAATTCTTAATCATAACTAGATTCAGGTAGAAATCCTTCTCAATTGCTAGTTATATAAAGGTCAAAGTTGAATTACAGATGAGAACATTAAATAGCTCGGATAATATAAATGTAGAAATACAAACTACAAAGGATCCATGACAAATAATACTCCTCATTTTTTCTAAAAATAATTCTTATAAGTTCTGTTTTTTTGGCTTTTCAAAAAACCGAAAACCGATCCAATGCAAACCGAAAAAATTGGATTGGATTGGATCGGATTTGAAAAAAATTCAAACCGATCGGATGATGTAATGACCAAACCGAAGGAATTTGGTCGGATGGTTTTTTGCTTCAAAACCGATCCAATCCAGACCGCGAACACCCTTATGATTATCTACACATTTCATGAACTTTATCTTAGGAGAGAATGTCCTTAAGCTTAATGTCCCCTCTTAAAACATACAAGTCTGGATGTCTGTATTATCAAATTACACTCTTACTTGTCATATTTGACCATACTTAGCGCTTCAGTACTTATATTATACATTTCATACAACCATTACCAAATTCTTTCATTACCTAGTCATTAAGTTAGACATGTGAATTCTAGGTACATTACTTATTCATATTCATACATTTCTTACTACTCACATCATCGTCTCTCAATACATTATGCAAGTCATACACGCATACATGCATACATGATATTGCTTAGCACATCGTTGCAATAGCTATCATATGCATACCATTCTCTCGATAAATAATCAACATAGTAAATTATGTCATGACATCCAATGACCAAATAATACAAATACTCAACTCATAAGCTTACACCTAATCTAAACAAAGTAAACAAGTTTATTTTCAAAGGCATAGACAACCCCTATGCTCACTTCCAATATAACATACATAGTACGATAAATAATAATCATGTCTCATATGAATAATATCAAATGAAAATAATGCATCATGCCAATATCTCTAAGTCGGCCTCTTGCCTCGAGATGCACCCATCTCATGAATCTCAGCACTTGAAAAATGTTCCCCAAATGGAGTGAGATGACAATCTCAGTAAACTAGGGGTTCTTGAAGGATTTCTCCACCTCCAAGTTCACTTTTTAGCATAATAATTATTAAGCAGTGTGATCATAGGAAAACAGTTAATTTTCATAAATAGTATAATACAGTATATATCATGTAACGTGTGCAACTCGGTTCAACTAGCCAGAGAACAATGTAGGCATTACACAAATCTGCAACCTACCCAAAACGTAAGGATTCCCCCTATGCCTTACACTCAGGATCACCACCTGCTATTGTAGGTAACAACATCACATCCATATATCAATACATTATACCACCAATTTAGTTACAAAACATATCACATATACATATGTCGATATCTCAATTTAACAAAATAGTATACCATATATACATATGCAAACTATAACACCTCACATATTTAAAATGCATATTAATAGTTAAATTATGGGTTAGAGGGTATGTTTATTGAAAATCCTAAGTTTTGGGTCAAAATACGCATGAAGGGTAAAATGGTAAATTAATAAATACGTTAAGTGTGGTGTGACACCACACAAGATGGTAACTCCTGGGGTATAAGGTGGACTCTTTATACTTGGTATGTAGCAAGATGTTGCATAAATTATAAATATATTTTCTCTGGCCAATATGATTTTTTACTGCACACGCATAATGTATATATGTAGATGCATTATATTGTTTTATGATGATAAACTGTTTCTATTATGATTATACTATTTTTGTTATGATTATACCTGAAGTGAACTTAGGAGAAGAGCAATCCTTCGAGGACCC